ATTGGACCACGTGTCTCCCCCCTAGTACATAGGCGGGAAACACCACATTGTTGGTTGGTGTGGTCTCATCATTGCAGTCAACAATATTCCAGGTCAAACACGAATTGAACGCATCGTCAGAGTCAGACACGTTCATATGGCGTACTACATAAGAAAGATATTTGAAATGAAGTTGTGGCAACAGGTGGCATCCTTGAACACTGGCTGCTTTTGAACATTCCTCGTGGATTGGCGAGCGAAGCATCCAACTGTTTGTCAGACTGACACTTCCCGACAGGGCAGATTTTCTCAAACTTCGGGCAACATGCCTTGCTTCTAGGGAGGCAGAGAAGGTCATCCTTCACTGTACACATCTCAGTATCTTCTTAGTTAAGAGGTTCAAAATTTATGTCATGCAAACTATGTAGCTCCGCTCGGCTGCACGAATAGCGCGGTCACAAGCAGTCCCATACGGACGTGTTCCCGACCAGAATTCATGTGAGCGATGAACTACTGCCGGTGCGGCGACAGTACTCCATTTACGAGTAGAAATCTCGATGGCTAGTATAGTTCGATCACTGAGTATACCGGTCGGTCGTGTAAACTTCAATATTTCAAAACCAAAGTTCAAGAATTCTATGAAACATCAATCAACCGAACAAAGAGTAGTTCAGGTCCTGACAAATCGCCATTGGCTAATATTTGTGCTATCCGCTGCGCTCAGTCGTTTTCTGTATTTGCCGTCAACGAACGATTTGTGGTCACTGGACAGTGTCTCTTGAATGAATATACCCACTGAGTTGCCAAGTTGTTAATTGCACTCGACGCAAGATTTAGTGGATGGCAGTGAAAAAATTGTCAGCATTCTGGAAGGCATACCGCATATCGCCAAAGCTGTTTCCACAACGGCAAATGCAAAAATCAATAATATGCGCGCACTCAACTCTCCTTAGCTTGTTGTCTGACACGTCGGTGCAAAATAACCGAAGAAATCAAAGACAATTGACTACAAATCACTTGAGGGGTGTTTCGGTGTTGCTGTGGCGGTGCAATGCATGTCGCGGCAACTTTTACTAGGATTCTAAACTTGCTAGAGGAGGAGGACAAACACCCCATCGACAAATATATCACGGAGAACCCAGCCCGCAGTATCGGTGTCCGAGAATGGAACAATCTAGTCAGGTCAATTAAACGAACTCAACATGAACTTCCATATTGAGGATGCGAAGAACTCCTGATTGTCAGACCAAAACACGGATTGTTCCTCGGAATGTCTGCTCTCCGATTTGTGTTCTCCCCAGTAATGTAGTCCCTTCGGATATTATTAAGCTGTTTTGAACAAGCGATCGCGTCGGAATGGAGTTTGTTCTGAATTGCCAAAGAGGTATGTGTGTGGTGTTTCACTGGGCCATGTAACTCCAAACTACCACTCGCTTGGCGATTCCACCGTTCGAGATCACTTCATCGGGGCAGCTGCTACTCGGTTTCACGACCCAATCTGTCCTATCTGATGACTGAATCGAAACCCTTAGGTGAAAATCGTGGCGCAGTGTGCATCTCATCACGGAAGAGGAGTAATAAACTAGTTTTTGGATGTGAATATATATGTATATATATAACACTAATACTACGATTACATAAGAACGATTTTGTCGATTTTTCAGCTACCAACCCACAAAGGCTGTTTCCTAGTATCCCTTGATTGACGTAAATGCATATCAAGTCTGGTGACAAATCATTGTCGTCGTTTACTGTAGCTTACCGCCTGCACTGCAATCTTGTTAGAACCTTGGGTGTCAAGGATTCAGCAGCAGCATGCCTTTCACCTCCATTATCGACGTGGTAATTCTGTCCGTAGTTGTCTTTCATTTTTGAACACTTCCCCTGAACGTGAATATTTAGCAAGATATTTTTTCGGCTTACAAACGTCATGAGATGTTTGAAAAGGTTTCAGCATATTACCTTTCTGATTTGTGCGTGCTCCTTTTGGTAACAATCCATCTGATCTAGTCATGGTAGCAGCAGAATCCGACCAATTCTGATGAAACTTCAGTTTTTCAAGCCAACACCGCTCTTGAAATTTCAGTTGATCTTGTTTTAGGAATCATTTTAATCGGCTCGTTTTGGTCAAAACTCCACACATATCCCGGTTCACCAATCGCAGTCGGGTGCTGCTACGGCCGAGAGGTGTATCCTGCGCAAGGTTGACAAAAAGTTCGGGACGCTTGCCGATCCGGCATCAGGCCGAGATCCGATTGGTCGAAATTGTGGACCCAACAGCGAACCGTGACCCAGTATTTGCCGAACGCCGGTTGCCACTGTCGCGGTACAAGTGTTTTTCACTACGTTTTGTGCGTTAGAATATCTTGTGCAACTTTGGTGGTTGTTTTCACGTAAATGCTAGCTTTGGAGGCTCACACCGAGAACTAAGCTGAGAAAAATATCTTTACTACAGCTTGTCTCTGGAATTTAACTCATAGCACCCCGTTCACTCTTCACCGTCTATGGTAGTACCCTTGTTGTACTCGTTTCCGGTGGTATACATAAGTCCCATACTGTGAGCAGCTCCTGAATGAAGGGTGTGCTGGTGTTTGGCGGAATCTCACGCCAAAACCAACTTACCGGTCATAATTAGATGCTGTGATGGCCAGAAGTTCGGGCGTTGGTCCTGAGTCCATTTTTTCCGTTTTATCTTAATTTTACCCATTCTAACACACTCATGATAAGTGTAATATGTTGCCGGAAGAAGTGACATCAGGGAATAGTATTTTGCTAATAAACACGGTAAATGTGGCCCGCTGGTTGTGGTGACTGTCCAGAATCTCGTCCTCTTGATCACGACGAGGTTTCGGATCTTGGTCATCGATAACTCACGGTATATTTCCTTACGGTCACAGTTCAGGCCAAATCCGAGGCGCTCTTGTCGACACAGCGTACTGTCACGGCCTGGCGGCAGCTGTACCAGAGACTGTGGTAAACAGATACTTGGTCAATCGATGTCAAGTGAAAAGCAACAGGGGAATCCATGGTCACACTCAGTTAAATACCGCTCCGTGGAGCGGACCATTAATTTTTCTGTTCCGAGGCCTACTGGCGAATGTTATATTACCATTCCCAGGTCGATTACTCGGATGTCCCGAAGGACGTCCACAATCGAGGTGTTCACATGGAGCACAAGTTTTCGCTCATGGTCACGAACATTCTTCAGGTTGCTCCACATGGTATGGATAAACGAAACGATGAGATGTATTTTTACTGACTCGCCCAAATCAAAACGTCAATATGATTA